GCGCCGGTTAAAGGCGCCTGTTATGTGTCTGATATGTATAATTCCTAGTTACCTATCGGATTTAGGTACTGGGTCCGGACCCGGCCCGCCAGTTGTGGATGCCAACTCGGATATGTTCACCAAGACGAGGACTGAGCAGAGGAGCAGCTTCAGCTCGGGAGCCGTCGCCATGTTGAGAGCCGTGTGGAGTCAACAAGATATGCTCGGAATATTCTAATTGAACACATTTTAAAGCCAATAGCTTAGCACAAGTTTTTGACAAGAAAAATGATGAAATGAAAGAAGGTATGAAGGTAAGACATAAAAGCAGCACGAGGTTGTGAGGTTGTGTTTTGGACCCGTGGAGCAGCTGCAGGGGACAGAGAGGAAGGCCGCTTCCATCCCCGTCTAAACGAGCTTTCTCAGGTTTGAATGTCAAGCGGCGTCCTTGATCGCCTCCCTGGCTGCCGGCCCGCTGTGCACCTTGTGCTTTCTGCTCAAATACCGCAGCAGAAAATTTAGTTATGCCACCGTCACCTGCGCCCTCACTCAGACCACACTACATTCTACTCTCAAACTAATTGTCTTAGTCGGACATCTGGTGGTTAGACCGTCCTGCAGCGCTCTATTTCTGTCCCATGTGACCAGGACCGTGCTTTGTCCTAATAATGCCTCAGACTGAACCATACCCTGCTGGCCTCATCTCGCTCTCTCCAGATGGCTCAGAGTGGCACCAGAGGGCCGTGTTAGCAGCTGCAACATAAACGCAGAACCAAACAGGCCATCCAGACAGAGTATTGCTGTAAAGGGACTCTGATAGAGAGAGAGAGGAGGGGTTTTTTTGGAGGGGGGAGAAAAGAACAGCTCTCTGAGGAGACACATCCACACGCTTCTTGAGAATAAAAACATGACACACTTTTCTGAAATAGGAAGAAAAACAGCCGGTAGTGCAAGAGTGAACAGCAGAGTGAAAGCCACAAGGACGAGGAAAGAACAGAACGATGGAGAGCATCTAAAAATTGGTGCTCCCCGGACGGCCATGTAGCGGGGCTACAGACGGAGCAGTGTGATGGGGTCAGCAGTTTAGCGCCGCTTAGCACTCAGGAGACGAGGAATAATGGACGTGCGATGGAGATGAGAGTTGAGAGTTTAGGCTGATAGACGGGATCCAGCTTGTGTGGGGGAGAAGTCTAAGACATTTTGAGAAGAAGTGAGCTCATGCAGCTCACAGTTATTTTTTTTTTTGATTAATGCCTATGCCTGCTGCGTAGCAAGACAGGCCTTACATCAAACTACAGTGGTGTGAGGAGATTTACCGAGCAGAGTATCAATAATTCTGTAATTGTTTCAAGCAAGCGTTTTATGTCTCCGTATGGTCCTTTCCATAATGTTGTCCCACACTATAATAACAACAAGAACACTTTCCACTGACGTACATCGGGCGGTGTGATGTGATTACATTGCAACCCGTTTAGCATCTGCCCGCTGCAGCGTTCTCCCTCAAATACTGGACCAATTTCAAAGACTGTTGTAATTCGAGGTCATCATCCTTCTATTATTACTGGCTTCACAAACATGAGAAGATTTTGGTTTGTTTTTAAAATGTGCTTTTGCAGTCGCACAGACTTCTTATAGTTTAGTTGGGCTGGTTTAATGCCTGAACTGAACTAATTCAACCAATTCCATTAATATGTTCCTGTCCCACTGCAAGTGAAGTGTTGGCAAGCCTTCTGCTTACTAACAACATTATTCTGAGATATCTCAATATATGGTCATGGAGGTTCACACATTGTCACGCCCACACCGGGTCTGCTGTGCTTTGACTTTCATTGTGTTCGTCTACATATTACACACCGAACGTTTACTCTGGAATAACGTTGGATGCACATTAGTGAAAGAGAAAATTACCTCACCTGATTTTGAGCTCAGAGCGGGTGGTGAGGTTGGAGGCGAGCTGCTGGATGAGCGACAGCAGCACGGGCTGGCTGAGAGGACACGGGTGCTGACCGAACACCTGCTGAGAGTCGATGGTCTCGCACACATACAGGACCAGGTTCAGATCTGTGGCCGACAGAGCCTGGAAGGAAGGGAAGAGAGAGAGGGAGAGAGAGAGAGGGCATTGTGTTCAGGTTAAACTGGTTTTATGAATCTTTCCAAAAGGAAAAGGATCGATACACAAACTAAAAAGCGAGGGGAAGGTTTTGGCCACCTCCACCTTAGTGGTTGTATGTTGCTTCTAAAACTAGCCAGAGACATGTCTGTAAAGAAAGTACACTTGTGTATCTTGTTGATGTCTAATTGTAATAAACTACAATCTGCTAAGCATGGAAGAGATTATAATAAAACTATGAGTTTAGGCAGGCTAATCTGAAATTTTTTTTAAGTGTCAATCAAAATATCCGTGGGTCAATAACTGAACTCCATGCAGATAAACATGGAAGGTGACGAAAAGCCAGAAATACTGAACAAAAAGGTAAGTGACGAGAGTTCTTAGCGGCTGATTAGAGTAGGTTCAGATTATGGAAGACACTGTTCGGTTCATATCCCGGTTAAGGAACGGTTTGCCCGAAGAAAAAACAAACAAACAAACAAAACCCGAATTGTCATTTTAAACTGGCAAATTTAGTAAATGTAAAGTAGTTGCAGCATATTGGATTTCTGGGCCTTGTAGTCCAGGCAGGCCTTTACGTGTGAACGTGCACGCATTTATTAACAGTTGGGAAATACAGAAGAAGAAGAAGAAACATTCCTTTATTAGTCCCACAGTGGGGAAATTATTCTCTGCATTTGACCCATCCCTGTATATATAGGGAGCAGTGGGCTGCCAATTACAGGCGCCCGGGGAGCAGTTAGGGGTACAGTGTCTTGCTCAGGGACACTTCGACACAGGACACGGTGCAGCCGAGGATCGAACCGGTGACCTTTCGGTTGGCGGACAACCCTCTCTACCCAGTAAGCCACGGTCGCCCCAGCTCAGCTGCGGAGAGTGAAATATGTACAGCACTCCACCTGTGTGTGTGTGTGTGTGTGTGTGTGTGTGTGTGTGTGTGTGCGCGTTACCTGCTGGAAAGCCTGGTTCAGCTGGCCCTGCTGGAGGAGCTGCAGGATGTTGGCCTGCTGCGTCTGGTAGTCGAGGTGAGCCGTGGGGACGGGCGTGCCGGCCGCTGACCTCATCGCCTGCATGATGCTGGAGGTGACCACCGCCTGCTGCTCCTTCATCGCCAGGCTCACCTCCCCTTTGACGATCCGCTGCACGTGGCTCAGAATAGACTCCTGCAAACTGTGAAGGGAAAAACGGCGGGAGGAGGAAACATGAGAAAGAGGGCTATCCTCCATATACAGTTGTGTGAAAAAGTGTTTGCCCCCTTCCTGATTTCTTATTTTTTTGCATGTTTGTCACACTTAAATGTTTCAGATCATCAAACAAATTTAAATATTAGACAAAGATAACACAAGTAAACACAAAATGCAGTTTTTAAATGAAGGTTTTTATTATTAAGGGGGAAAAAAAATCCAAACCTACATGGCCCTGTGTGAAAAAGTGATTGCCCC